TTATTGTTGTTTTTTTCTTGAAAACCAGGAAGCATAGCATGAATGCTTGGGAATATGGGCCTTATCTTTTTCTTGAAAACCAGGAAGCATTGCATGAATGCTTGGGAATATGGGCCTTATCTAACACTAGCAGAAAAAAAGATCTGAGCTACATAGTAAATGCTGTCAATAATAGTGTCCCTATCGTCTATATATGTGCATCTAAACATGCTCTACAATTACATTTAATATTGATCAAACAATTAGGTATATAAATGACTTGGTGATCCATCATGTTTTTCTCTAACCCAAATAATCAAAGAAGAATAAGTAAATAACCATATATAAGCACTGTACATACGAACTAGGTGGCTAAATTTTGCTTAGGATCACAGGGAACAGGACTATTACTTCCTCGAAGAAATTAGCTCCTACTTTGTAGAATGTCCGGCCGATAAATTTATCTAACACGAGGGCATGGATTTGATTTTCTTCATAGAATGGTCCTTGTACAAGCCATGTGATCAAAGATTACTTTTTATTCCAATTAAGAAGAAAAATCAAGTAGCCACATCTATACATGGGCCATTTTTTCAAAGGAGTGGTCGCAAGCAGATGACTAATTAATGTATCTTAGAAGATCATTGGTTGCTTATATTATCTTCTTACCATCAGTTTAGCTGTTTCTTTTCTATTTATAGTGCATTGGAATGCCCGTCTTGCATACAATGAGAGAAGACGTCCTTAACCCTTTTTCGTTGCCTCACATTCCTACTGTGAGAGTGATTTTACAACATGAAATTACTATCGTAAGCTCGCTCAAATTATTTTTGATCCCATATCATTTTTTTTATTGTGATTTTGATTTGAAATATTATATCCTAACTTAAACACAAGTCTTTCATGTTCTCCATGATTTCTCCTCTAGATCATGCACTAAGCTTAACAAATTAATTAGAGTCTTGAGTTCTATATCTCAAAATAAACCTATACGGATAACCTGGGTTGTAGGTGAATTATCACAACCTCATGATCTCTAAGGTTCTCTTCTTGATTAGTCATTTGAGAAAATATATTTTCAATAGATGATTTTGCGATAAATCTTAATATTGGGAAACTCTAAAATCCATTAATTTATTGGACAAATCATGTACATACGAACATGGGAAACAATTAGATATATAGGCTTTGGAATCATATATTTAGATCTTTCAGTTTTCATACAAGATCATTAATTCATCCATTAATCATTCTTGACACGGAATAATAATAACCGTGAATGTAAGGAATGAACAAGCATCTGTCAATTTGGCAACGAACATGATTGAAGGAGCTGGGGCATTTTATGCAAGTTGATCCCATTAGCTTGACCACTTTTTGTCGGTAAATCATTGTGCTCTGCCGATTAATCAATTTAGACTTACTGGAATGACCTAATTAAGTATTTCCAAAAATCAAGCAAAAGGTGTTTTAACTTTTTGACTTGCATGGAAAATTAATATGTGGGGTATCACTAATTCTTTCGCATCAACTATATAATATCTCGAATTTCTTAACGTATTGAATGCTTTAGTTGTTTATTGATTTTGATGATAACATAGTAGTGGAACATTTTTTTTCTTGAAAAAACATAATATATGTATTAATAACAAAAATCATAGCAACATAAAAATTTAGACTAATATATAGATGAAAATTATATCTTGTACTTAAGTTTATTAATTAAAATGAAAAGGTTATGTTTTAGATTTAAAATCAAAGTTTTGATTATCAAAGAATTATGAGTTTGATATCATTTTAAATAATCATCTCAATCTAAAAATTTAAACTATTATGTAAAATACAATAAATAACTTATATTATTCTTCTAACTCTATTATATTAATGATGTTACAAGTGGAGTGAGGTTGGGTTTTATCCCACTCCATTCCCCAACTAAAAATTAATTAATTATTTTTTTATTCATTTTAATTTTTTATTTTTGAAAAGTATATATCTTAGGTAAAAAAAACCATGTTCTTTGAGAATGTTCTATTCATTTTGATTTACAATACATAAGATGACAATTCTATCATATTCATACTTGAGATATAATCAGTCTCCCCAATTAAATTGGTTTTTAATCCGATTGTGGTGTCTATCTTATTATCTTTGGTTTCTAAGATGCAAAATGGCTTCTAAGATGCAAAAGGAGTTAAGATGATACTTTAGGAAAAAAAATTAAACTTTGAAAAGTTAATTTGGGTGTAAGTAAGTTTGTTTTTTACATGTATATAAGAAAAAAAATTATTAAGAAACTAGTAAGAAATTTGAGTGGTTTACTTAAAACCTAGTTAAAAAAAATAATCTTAATGAATGAAGATTAATCTTAATATAATAGTGTATTACTTATAGTTATGAAACCCGGTCCAACTCGTCAAATTTCAAATCACAAAAAGGTTAGGCTCGCAATTGGCCTAGTCAACCTAAAACCTAGGTGATTGGGTATAACAACGATGAGACCTAATTTTTTTTACATTTGTTTTATAAATCAAAAAATATAAAATTATTAATTTATAAATACTTAGCCTCCCATATCTTTTTTAATAACCTATATTTACATGAATTTTTCTTAACTTTTTTATGCGATATAACTATATATAGTTTATATCTACATGGAATGTTTATTAATTTTTTGATTTGAAATAGCTATATATGACTACATTTACATGGATTGTTTCTTAATTTTTAAATGTAGAATAATTATACTATACTATGCTTTATTTTTTTTTATAGCTTATATTCACATGAATTGTTTTTAAAAAATTTTATGTGGGATAATTATGCTACATTTCACATTTTCTTTTTATAAAAGTATTGTTATATATAATTTTATTTTTTATTGAAATAATAAATAATAAATAAAATATGAATATAAAAAACTCGACGATAGATATTGATTACAATCCCTACTCATGAGAGACAAACGAATTTCTTTTTCTTTTTCCCCCAACCCCTTTTCATTAAAAAAGAAGGATCAATTATCTTGGGCATATAGAAAGAGATTTAATACAAAGCTTTTAGTATCTTTAATTAAGGGGCTTTGCCTATAAGAATTGGTGAGCGTTACCTTTGCCATGTAACTTAGCTTTTGGTACCCTTTCTCTTTGGGTCATCCATCCTTAACTTTCTTTCTGGAAAAAAAAAGGGTCCTTACTTCTCTTTCATTCACAGATGTTCAAAGCTCTCTATTAAAACATCCATTCGTGAGCTCGTAAAAAGGTCCATGCAGGGTTCAATATGGAGAACTAATCATGCTCTGATTTTTTTAAGATAATTATATTCTCTCAATTATCAAAAACATAATAACTATAATATATTAAAATCATAGATACATGTAAGAAAAACGAGAATCTTATGTCACCCAAGGGATTGTTGGTTCATCACTGAGTACGTACAATAATTCAACTTTTTCTATTTGTTTTTTCTCTTTTTCTTTTTTTTTTCCTTTTAATTTCTTTCATAAAATAATTTAAAAGAAAAGGCTACATGATCTTAAGCCCATGATGACACTGCTTGGCCCAATAGATATTTGTCTGACCCCATCACATAATTAAGTAACAACGCAGCTATGCCAGTGGGTGCTGGCTAACTAATTATAACTAGATAGGTTTCTTGCTCCATGGTGCGCTGGTCTAATTTTTTTTATCTTAAAAAAATATTGTTAAGATGGTGTAATTATTTATAAAAAAAAACTATAAAAATATGAGACTTAATTCATTCTCAACTTAATTTAATAAACTCAATTAACTTAAATAATATGAATAATAAAACAATAAATAAACTAATAAAAAAATATTTGAGCCCTTCGGGATTAATCTACAATCT